AAAAAAAAAAAAGATAAAGCTCGATTGTCTTCATCTTTCTCTTTTCCCCTAAGCACATGTTGCCCACAAAACACTTCAAGTTTCTGTCTTTCCTTTTATCCTTTCCTTTCTATAGGGAAGGAGCAGAAGATAACAGGTAACCAAAGAGATGGAGTACTAGGGAGATAGGGAGCTTTTCTTTTCTTTTCCTTTCCCTTCCTTTCCCTTTCTTTCCCTTTCTTTCCCTTTCCCTTCCCTCTCCACAGAGTCTCGTTTTGTCACCCTTGGTAGAGTGCTGTGGTGTCGTAGCTCACAGCAACCTCGCTCAAGTGATTCTCTTGCCTCAGGCCCCCAAGTAGTTGGGACTACAGGTACCTGCCACAACACCTGGATATTTTCAGAGACAGGTTTCGCTCTGGCACAGGCTGGTCTCAAACCTATGAGCTCAGGCAATCCACCTGCCTCAGCCTCTTAGAGTGCTAGGATTACAGGCATGAGCTACTGTGCCCAGCCGAGGTGGGAAGATTTTAAAATACAAAATAGAGGTAGTAGCTGTTTTAAAACTCTTATGTCTAATTTTTTTATATTCTTGCTAGCTAGTGCTATTTAAAAGCTTTCTCAGAATTTGTTTTCTCACATTTTTTTGTTTTCTCCCCAGGTTCATTGTCTGAGATCTGTTGACAACTTATTTGTAGTTGTTCAGGAGTTTGAAGACTACGAGTTCAAAAAAACAAAGGTGAGCTATCCCAAATATTAGGGCTAATTTTCGGATGTCTTTCTCAAATGTCTTCTCCAAGGAGAGTATTTTACTTTTCACATTCTGTCATTTAGCATTACAGTTGCTTTTGTAATAGAGAATACTGAGAGGCTTTCCAGTAAAATCCAGAGATTTGCTCCGTCTATCGCAGAAGTTTTTTAAAAATCAACATCGAGTGGTTCAGCACCCGTAGCACAGTGGTCACAGTGCCAGCCACATACACCATGGGTGATGGGTTTGAACCTGGCCCTGGCCAGCTAAACAATTGCAACAAGAACAACAACAAAATAGCCAGGCATCATGGTGGGCTCCTATAGTCCCAGCTACTTTGGAGGCTGAGGCAGGAGAATTGCGTAAGCCCAAGAGTTTGAGGTTGCTGGGGGCTGTGACACCATGGCACTCTACTGAGGGTGACATAGTGAGACTCTGTCTCAAAAAAAAAAACAAAAAACACTGAAAAACATGAAGGTTTAGAAATCAAATTATTCGATTTTCTTACAAATATATATAAAGCTTAGATTAGCTTTGTTGATATTTTTACATATATATACATATGGTTCTAAAACAGAATTGCTTCTAGAGTGTGAACCAAAGGACAAATTGGCAGTTTATGTCTTTTGCAAACAATAACTTTTCATCATCTTGCTTTTGCCCTGCTTTCTTCGCTAACTTCATTTTTTTGAAATAAAGTCAAAGTAATGTCTAAACACTCCTTCAGTTGTTAGGACAACAGCTTTGTCTCCAAAGAGTATTTAGCATTTTAGCATCTGAGTCCTAAATATTCTGCTGCTGCCTTAAAATGAAGGTTGAAAATAGATTGCAGCAAGCCTTTAGGATTTTTCCACATTGCTTTTTGGTCGTGTTTCCAGACTCAGCTGCTTAAAAACTTTTTTCCTATCAATTTTATTGCCTGTCTTAGAGATACTTTCTTTAAAAAACAACTATAATATGCTGCCTAATTCTCCAACTTATTTATTGGCAACAGGTTGATTTCCAAAACATTATTTAAAACCTAGTCATGGCCATGTGTGGTGGCTCACACCTGTAATCATAACACTCCGGGAGGCTGAGGCAGCAGTATTGCTTGAGGTCTGGAATTCAAGACTAGCCTGAGAAAGCAAGACCCTGTCTCTACAAAATATAGAAAAAGTAAGGGGGATATAGTGGCTTGCTGTTATAGTCCCAGCTGCTTCTAAGGCTGAGGTAGGATCGCTTGAGCCCAGGAGTTTGAAGTTGCTGTGAGCTAGGACACTGCTGCACTGTATTCTGGGTGACAGTGAGACTCAAAATAAATAAATAAATAAATAAATAAAGCAATATGAACTCACAGGCTAGAAACAGTAAGACCAGACCTTGGCAGCGCCTGTGGCTTAGTGAGTAGGGTGCC